TCACAGGGTATAGGTTCCTACCTGATTCAATTCCTTAGGTTTCCCAGATGCAGGGCACCCCACCACCCCCGGAAGCCACCATCCATTGCTTAGCTGCCAGCACTCAAGTTTTTGCTCAGGGAGGAAGCACATTTTCCAAGGTCAGCGAGTCAGGCATAATCTGTGACTAAGCTAGTGGGGAGGGGACTCCATCCTGACCTCTACCCACACCTGGGGACATCACAGCCCCTCCAGCCCCTCCTGAGCCTCAGTTTCCCGGCCTCGATTGACTACACCCCTCTCACTAAGATCTGCACTGGGGACTTGCTCTCTTCCACCAGCCGGGGGCGCTGCACCGACTTGGGGACGATGGGGGGGTCTCGGGGTAACCAGGTCTGGTCATCTGGGGTTGCACCTTCTCCAGCCGGGGTCAGCAGGGGCCTTCCCGGGCAGTTCAGGCGCCTGTCAATCTCAGCCCCCGGGCGGCGTGGCACTGCGCAGGCGCGGGCGGGTTCCGCACGGCGTAGCGGCGGGCGCGCGCGGGAGCGAGGGATTCCCTCTGACGTCATTGCTAGGATACCAAACAAACACTCGGCCGCGCCGGCCGAGCTCCTTATATGGCTAATTGCGTCACAGGAACTCCGGGGAGGGCGGGGCGGGATCCCCTCCCGCAGAGACCCTCGGAACGTGGATTTGGGGACCCCCGGGGCCACCAGGGTCACCCTATGGGCAGGTGGAGGATGCACGAGGCCCTGGGGGGGGCGCCGCAAGGGGCTCGGGCGGCGGGGAGGGGGAGTTCGGGAGGTTTGTGCACCGAGCCGCGGGTGACGCAAGCGGGGGGGCGGGTCCCGACCGCATAAATTAAGCCCGGCAGCTCCCGGCTTCATTCATAAGACTGGAGCGGCTACGCCGGGCACACGCGGAGCCGGGGCTTGCGGGACTTGACTACTGGTGACTCTTCTTCTTCTTCTTGGCGTCCGTGAAAATTTTTATTTATATATATATATTAATTTTTAACTGGAGAGAAAGTTTTGTGGGTTTCTTTTTTGCAAGACTCCTTCTAGATCGTTCTTCCGTTTCGTCCTGAGGATAGACTTACTTTCTGTGGGCTTCTGGATCGCGCCCCTCTGCCCTCCCCCATTTCGTGGAACTCCTGGAAAGGAAGGGGACCGCATCCGAAGCGCACGCTGAACGGCGACACTGCGCGGCGGGTCTCTGGGCGGGGAGCGATCCCCGCGCCGCCCCCACCCCCGTGAAATCGACGGAGCCTGAACTTTCAGGAGGTACAGCGGCGACTTGAAGGGAACCTGGGCGCTTGCAGAGGGGACTTGCATCGAAACTTGGGCAGTTTTCCCAGCCGGACGTGGAGCTCCCCCAAGCAGCGCACTTTGGGGACGTGTCCGGTCTACTCCGGACTCGCATCTCATCCCACTCGGCCATAGCCTTGGCTTCCCGGCGACCTCAGCGTGGTCACAGGGGCCCCCCTGTGCCCAGGGAAATGTTTCAAGCTTTCCCCGGAGACTACGACTCCGGCTCCCGGTGTAGCTCGTCACCCTCCGCCGAGTCTCAGTACCTGTCTTCGGTGGACTCCTTCGGCAGTCCACCCACCGCCGCCGCCTCCCAGGTAAGTCCTAGATCGCAAAGATGCTACTTTGGTGGTCATGGAAAAAATATGTCTTTAAGTCTGAAGTGTGAATTAGGCATCCTCTCAAATAGGACGCGCCAAAAACTCAGGATCTGGGAAAGCAAGAGGCTCGGGTTGCACTTTTGGTTTTTGTTGTTGTTGTTTGCAAACTGCAAGGAAAGGAGAGATGTTTGCAACGGGTTGTGTGCTCAGAGCGCGGGAAAGGAATGCAGTTGGGCAAGCGTTGGCGATGCCCGGTGCAAAGCATACGCGGTAGCTAGCAGAAGCTGAGAACTTTTAGCTGAGCTCCGGCTCCCTAACCCAGAGCTAGACAAGTGGGGGGAAGAAAACACAACAATAGAAAAACACAGAGAAGCTTCCAGTAGCCTTCTCTGCCCTCCTCCTTCCAAGCGCGGACTGCAGGGCCGCGCTCGCCCGCCACCCGGCGGGAGTTCGGGCCTCGAACCCCGTTCACGCTGCCTCCGCCTCCTGCGCGGATACGTAACGGGGGACCCGTGCGTAAAGGCTGACGTGCTGGAATCCTCCGTCTGACGCGGGGCACGCACAGCGCGCAGCGCCCCCTCTGCCCGCCCCGCCCCTGACGTCCCGGGCACGTTCTATTTTGGAACGCCGAGGCCACGTTGCTAAGGGAGGGGGCAGCGTGGCTTCTTGATTGGCTGTCGCGGAGCGGGCTTTAGCCAATCAACGTCTTTTTCCTATTTGTAGAGCGTAGCTCCGTTCCCTGCTTTTTGTGGTTCTTCCGTGCTGGGGGGGGGGGTCTCCAAGAGGCAGAGCTAGGGGATTCTTGTCGTGATTGGAGCGACCCTGTCAACTCATGGGTCTAAAGGGACGTTGTGGGGACCTGGCCCCTCCGCTGTCAGAAGCAGGAGGCTTCTGGCTGAGTGCTAGCGCCTCTAGGGTGGGCCCTGGGGGCCGTCACCCCCTCTCCAGGCACACGAATACGCGCTCCCTGCGCGCTGAACACCCGGCGCTTTCGAGATGTCCAAACACTACATGAACTACCCCAAAGGGAAGAGCCAGGTGGTCTCTAAAAGGTCCGCCTCCTCTTGGTTCCCAGGACCCTGATTGGCCAGGGATTCAGCCCTTCCCTCGCCACGCCCCCCAGAGTAGTTAAGCCTCTAGGATTCCACTTGAGGGAGGGGTGATGGATGCTTCTTGGGTTTGGGGACGCGGATCCTATATCGTCCCCATCCCCTGCAAGATAGTCTAAGGGATTCTCACTGTCACTTTCCTCTACCTGTCAGTCCACTCAAACTCGTCACTTGTCAGTCTCGTTGGGGAAGAGACAGAAATTCGAAAGGGATGCTCTCAACTCTTAGGCCAGTCCCCCAACACCATTGGAGCTGGGATCTCCGCCCCTGCGGGAGCCCTCATACAGTGGGGGTGTGTTTGTGTGTGAGTGGAGAGGAAGGCTTGGGTTAAGGGCTCTCCCTCTCGCTTCCTCTGGGGTGGGGGTGGGATGTTGTGACTGTGTGTGTGTGTGTGTGTGTGTGTGTGTGTGTGTGTCTCCATCTCGGGAGGTTCTGTCACCAGGCTCTGTCCAGCCTCCTCTCCACCCCCCCCCCACACCTAAGAGTCACCAACCCCAGGGTGTGATTCACCACCCGCTGGAACCGTGCAACCTTTCCCCGAGGAAGAAGGAGGAGGTAGAAGGCAGTTGAGCAGAATCCTCTCATTAACCACTGCGTCACGGGGTAGTGAAAGGGTGGGTGTTGTGGCTTTTTGCCTGTGACACACACATCCACACCCGCTCACCCTGTGCTCACTCACAGGGGTCGGTGTGTGTTATGTGTGTTGGGCGTGTGTGTGTCGGTGGCTTTGTTTGTGTGTCTACGCCTGTGTGTGTATGTCTCACCCTGTAGGAGTGCGCCGGTCTCGGGGAAATGCCCGGCTCCTTCGTGCCAACGGTCACTGCAATCACAACCAGCCAGGACCTCCAGTGGCTCGTGCAACCCACCCTCATCTCTTCCATGGCCCAGTCCCAGGGGCAGCCATTGGCCTCCCAGCCTCCAGCTGTTGACCCTTATGACATGCCAGGAACCAGCTACTCAACCCCAGGCCTGAGTACCTACAGCACTGGTGGAGAAAGCGGAAGTGGTGGGCCTTCGACCAGTACAAGCACCGGTGGTCCGGGGCCTGCCCGCCCAGCCAGAGCCAGGCCCAGGAGACCCCGAGAAGAGACGGTAAGTATGAGGCCTCGGGAGCTGGTCTGGAGGAGCCTGGGCTCAGTGGGTGGAGAGCTTGCTAGCATGCATCAAGTTTGCAGAGATCTCCAGCATAGCATGAACAGGAGTGGCTGTGCAGGCTGGTGACCCTAGTTCTCTGCGGGCGGAGGCCAGCCTGGGCTACTTATTGAGTTTGAGACCAGCCTGGACTGCAAGAGATCTTTATTTAAAAAAAAAAAAAAAAGTTGGCCTGGGGGAATGAGGGGAGTAAGAGGAGTGAGCGATCTGTCACTGTTGAGTTGGGGGTCTTTTGAGGCCTCAAGATGGAGAGAGCTTTATCGTACCTTCCTTCCTACCCCCGAGGACTAGTGGCTGTTGTTTGGGGTTATGGAGGGAAAGGAGTTTTGTCAGGGAGGGTAGAGGTGCCCCCAAATCTCATAGTCCCTCGTCTCTTTGACTCAGCTTACCCCAGAAGAGGAAGAGAAGAGAAGGGTTCGCAGGGAGCGAAACAAGCTGGCGGCAGCTAAGTGCAGAAACCGTCGGAGGGAGCTGACGGACCGACTCCAGGCGGTAAGGGGGAGTTCTGGGGTGTCTCGGGGCTGTGCTCGGGGGGCTCTGCCTTGCTCGGGCCCTACTTCTCACTGCCTCTGTGTCCTGAATGCGGATCCCCACTTAGGGACCGAGGGTCAATGCTGCCTGATGGAGTCGCTGTTTAAGGATGCTCAGACCCCTACCCACTCACTTCCGGCTGTCCCCCACTGTCCCTTTCTCTCAGCTCATAAGAGGGCAAGCTGGAGGTGGCCATTCTCTTAGTCTTGGTTAAGGAGCAACCCACTTTGCCAAAGCACCTCCAGTTTTCTTCTGAGCCAGAGGGCCTCCCAGTGTAGCCCCGCGTGCCCTTCCCCCACAACTTGATGGATTTTAGTCTCGGTCCCTGTGAGTGGTGAGATGACACATGGACCATCATCCTGGCTGGCTGGAAACGAAATTATCTGATGTTGCATCAACTCCTGCCCCAGCCACCTACATTTCTCCAGAACTTGAGCTGGTGGCCCCCACCCAACCCACCCCTTTCTTCCTTCGACCTCCGTGTAAGGGTCCCCCTTCCTTTATGCCTGCAGAGTATCCTCTTACCCCTTGGAACAAGGGTACATCTCTGCTTTTCTACTGGGAGGTTGAAGGAGGGGGGATAGCAGAACCACCCTAAAAACAACACTTAACCGTTGTTTATTCACTCAGAAAATTGCAGTGTTTTTCTTTTGCTCTCTTTAAAAGGCATATTCCTAATATTTATCTATTTTCTTACGTCCGAGTGGGTGCAGGTGTGCACGCATAGGGAGGTCAGAGAACAATTTTCAGAGGGCCTGGTTCTCCCCTTCCCTCTGTGGGCCCCAGAAATCGAGCTCAATTTGTCAGGCTTGCTGGCGATCGCCTTTGCTCACTGAGCTACATTGCCCCCTTCCTCCCATTTTAAGGCAGGACAGTCCTTAGTTCCGGCTGGCCACAAACAAGCAATCCTTCCCCCGCCTCAGCCTCTGAGTGTCCGGATTTTACAGGTGTTCACCACCACACTAGGCCTGGAGCTGTTGCCCATCAGAGACTTCCGTTCCAGCCTGGCTTTCCCCCAACCATCTCTTGCGCAGATGGGGGGCTGAGGCTCCATGTTGCGCCATCTCTCCACCCGGAGTCCCTCTCAGAGGGGCACGCCCCTCCGTCGGGAGGGTCTGTGGATCAGCAGCTAGGATGCGTGTGGGGGCGGCTGAGGCTTTCTGTGTGGTCGTTGACCGTGGTCCTTCCTTTCTGTCTCCTATGACCTGGCCCTGCCGGGGGCCCATCAGGAAACGGATCAGCTGGAAGAGGAAAAGGCAGAGCTGGAGTCGGAGATCGCCGAGCTGCAAAAAGAGAAGGAACGTCTGGAGTTTGTCCTGGTGGCCCACAAACCGGGCTGCAAGATCCCCTATGAAGAGGGGCCGGGGCCAGGCCCGCTGGCCGAGGTGAGAGATTTGCCGGGGTCAACATCCGCTAAGGAAGACGGCTTCGGCTGGCTGCTGCCGCCCCCTCCACCACCGCCCCTGCCCTTCCAGAGCAGCCGAGACGCACCCCCCCACCTGACGGCTTCTCTCTTTACACACAGTGAAGTTCAAGTCCTCGGCGACCCCTTCCCCGTTGTTAGCCCTTCGTACACTTCCTCGTTTGTCCTCACCTGCCCGGAAGTCTCCGCATTCGCCGGCGCCACACGCACCAGCGGCAGCGAGCAGCCGTCCGACCCCCTGAACTCGCCCTCCCTTCTTGCTCTGTGAACTCTTTAGACAAACAAAACAAACAAAGCCGCAAGGAACGAGGCGGAGGAGGAGGAGCAGGAGGAGGAGAGGGGAAGAAGCGCTTTGGGGGTGCGCGTGCACCCCTGGACTCTGCTGTCTGACCGCCTGCCGCCTCTGCCATCGGACAGGACGCAAGGACCGACCGCCTTTGTGTTTTGCGCTCCCGTCTCTGGTTTCTGTGCCCCGGCGAGGCCGGAGAGCTGGTGACTTTGGGGACAGGGGGCGGGGCGGGGATGGACACCCCCCTTTCAGATGTCTGATGGTCTTGTCACTTCAGCCCAACTCCTGGGGGGACGGGCGGGCGGGCGGGCGGGGTGTGACGCCCACTTCTGGCGTCTTGCGTGAGGCTGGGTGTGCGGTCCGCAGGGTGGGCTTGTGTATGTATGAGCTGGCATGCACCCCCAGAGAGGCCCAACGAGGAAATGACAGCCCTGTCCTTCTTCTCCCCCCCCCCCAGGGTGCAGGGTGGCCAAGATAGCTCTCTATGCTCCCTCGGGCCTTAGCTGATTAACCCAACATTTCCAAGAGGTTACAACCTCACCTGGCTAACCCCACTTCCCCGTGACTGCACTCCAAAATGTGAACCCCTCTCTGACTGTCCAGTCTTTCCCTCCGGGAAAAAACTGGCTCGGATTGGATTTTTATATGTGTCTCATCTGCTACAGAGCCCCCTCCCAGCTCAGGCCCGAGCCCACCTGTATTATGCCATGACCCCTCACCTCCCCCTACCCCCAGCCGCCCTTGGCCGTCCTCGTTGGGCCTTTCTGGTTTCGGGCAGCAGGGGGCGCTGCGACGCCCGTCTTGCTGGAGCGCTTTATACTGTGAATGAGCTGTGCGGCCGGATTGCGGTGCGCCGGGTGGGATTGACCCCCAACCCTCCAAAGCCTTCCCTGGACCTCCCCTTCTTCCAACTGCCCCCCTCCTCCCCCCGACAGGGAGTTAGACTTAAAGGAGTGATGGTGATGCATCCCGGTGGCCGGTGGCCTTCTTGCTCAGGCCGCAGGCATTTTTCTCCAAGGTCTCCCACCTTCCCCAGCCTAGGAAGCCAACTTCTTCCAACCCTGGGAGCCCTGCATCCTCTCACAGAGGTCGAGGCAATTTCCAGAGAAGTTTTCAGGGCTGAGGCTTTGGCTCCCCTACCCTTGATATTTGAACCCCCAAATATTTTTGGACTGGCATAAAGAGGGACTGAGTTCCCACTATCCCACCCCGTCCGTCCAACTCCTCCAGCCCCAAATATGGGTTCTGGCTCCTCCCTCCAGCTTTCACCTCGTGAGAAGTCCACGAGTCAGATTTCTATTTTTTAATATTGGGGAGATGGGCCTTTACCGCCTCCCTCCCTGTGCTGCATGGAACACATTCCACACCCTGTCCTGGGTCCCTGGTTCCAACCCTAACCCCAGCCAAGCTATTTATCCTTTCCCTGGTTCCCGAAAAGCACTTATATCTATTATGTATAGATAAATATATTATATAATGAGTGTGTGTGCGCGCGTGCGTGTGTGCATACGAGTTTCCTCGTTTGCGAGTGTGCTGTGGAGTTGACATCGCTTCTGGGAACTCGAGTCAGACTCTCCTGGCTGTCCCTTCCATAACTGTCGTAACTGTCACATTTTTGTTGTTGTTGCTGTCTTTTCTCAGTGTGTTTCGCTCTGACCACCTCGAACATGTCCCCTCTCTCACTGGCCCTGATCTTCCTTCTGTCTGTCAACTCCGGGTTTGTTGGGGACATGCAATTTTACTTTTTTTGAGTAAGTGTGAATGGGTGGTAGATTTTTACAGTGTGTATCGTTGAGAATTCTGGATGGGAGTGTATGATCAGGAGAAGGGCCTGCCGCTGCCGACCACGACTCGGGACTGCATAGCTCCCTGCCCATGCTGTATTTGTGATTTTGTTGTTGTTGGTTTTTTGTATTTTGCACCTGACCCCGGGGGTGCTGGGGCAGTCTAGCACTGGGCACTCCCCTCCCCCTCTTGGTTCTGCACTGTCGCCAATAAAAAAGCTTTAAAAAAAATATATCCATCAGGTCGAAGTGTGTATATACCCTGGGTACCTATTACGTGGCTGTCAACAAGACAGAATGAATTTGTATTGCTAGGAAGCCTTCACAGGCATTTATTGAGGCACCTAACAAATCAGCCTATAAAAGGAAAGTGGACGCTTGGGAGGGCTTCCCCTGTTTCTAGGCTGTGTCGCCTACTGGAAAAAGTAAGGGGCAGGTTGTCGGCTGTGAGGTATTGACGTGGAGAAGGGTCTGAGAGACTTCATGGCTGGGAAAGAATATATTCAGAACACTGGATGTCCATAGCAGGTATTGGGAAGACGAGAAGCAGAGGGAAGTTAGTGTTGGGTGGTCTTTTCTATTCCTGGACCGAGAGTAGCCAGAAGAGGCGTGGTGAGGCTGAGGAGGACCCAGGATTGGGAAAGAAAGAACCCAAGACACATAGAGTGGGCAAAACACTGGTCAGTTCATTACTAGCAAGGCTGGGAAGGACACATCACTGGAGGAGGGGGTGTACCACCAGTGACCAGAGAATTCTGGTGACCTTAGAAAAAGAGAAGGCGTTTGCTTGAGCTGCAATTCTCGATCTTAGGTCAACCTTGTCATCCATCAAGTTTGTCTCGAGGTCATCCTGGTCCGGTCTTCTTGCAATATGGCTTGAGTTCATTAAATACATAATTGCCTGGTACTGTCTTCTCCACTGGCTGGGTTACCTCGTGAGACCAGGGCTAAGGGTGTGATCACAGCTTTATCCCCATCACTGCTCAAATCACAGAGACAAGGCTGAGCCAGACTGAACAAATGAACAAAGTTATGACTAATAACTGCATGCGTGATTAAATACATAACCCAGCAAATGACTGGATGAATAATAAATCGTCGAAGGAGAGACATCAGAGATATACAGGAATATTATAAAGCTGTAGAGACAAATTTAAATGCATTTTCGAGGTGTATTCGGTAATTCAGGGAGGGACAAAAGGTAAGTACGAAGAGGGAATCAATAGGAATAGAGGTGTGGATTTAGAGATGTTTATTGCATGATACAGGTTGCAGGGAGCAAAATGGGAAAGATACTCCCGCCCGAAAGGTGGAATTGAACCACTCTGTCGCTAAACAGCTACAGGTTTGAAGCCTGCACCCCAGACCACTGAGGATCATCCGGGCAGGAAGATGTGTTTTCAGACAGGTATATAAAGCACAAACAAATCAAACCTTTTCGATTACGGTGACTACGCTTTTTACAGGACACAACCAATTCTAATGTTTTTTTTCACATTATTTCCACATTTTATCGCAAATATATGCTTTTCTTTGCAAACATGCCATGAATTACCCCACTAAACAAAAATGAGTAGCTTTATTTGCATAGCGCTTTGCATTCTGGGAAGCAGCTCCTAATGTGACTATATAAGGAACAGTTTTTTTTTTTGCAAAGTGAAAAGTCAGCTTTATTTTTTGTTTGTTTTGTTTTTTTTTTAAGGAAAACTTCCTGTGCGACACTCGGGAGCCACTTCGTGGCGGAATTGGAGTCTTTCTGCGAGGGACACTCGAGCCTCTCGTAGGGTCTGATGGAGCGCGGCCGCAGGGCGCCACCCGCTGTTCGTTTGCGGAACTGCAAGCATAGGGTCCGCTGTGAGCCCCGGGCATTGAGTCCCCAGGTGACGGGGATGACAACCGAGCGGTCCTGGCGATGAGACGCTAGAGACCATCCCTTTCTACACTTGTGCCAGGGAAACTGAGGCAAGGCATGGATAGTATCACAGCCCACTTCCTGCCCCCCAACTCCGTAGCGGAAATGAAACCTAATACATCATCACACACACACATACTATTTGTTTTTTTTTTTTGTTTTGTTTTTTGTTTTTTTTTGAGACAGGGTCACTTATGTGTAATGTATGATATTCTTACTAACTTATGATAGATATTCTTACCAACACTGGTTTTTCTGTTTCCTTGAGACAGTGTCTTTTTTATTTATTTATTTACAAATTTATTTATTTTGTTAGGGTCTCACTCTGTAGTCCTGGCTGGCCTGGAATCCTCTGTGTAGCCCAGGCTTACCTGAACTTTGAAGCGATCTTCCTGCCTCAGCCTCCCAAGTGCGGGGATTGCTACAGGCATGAGTCACACACCCGGTTTAAACCTTAGGGCACCGTCCATCGCAGAAGACAGAGCACCCACTACCTGCTTTGTGGAGCCTATAATCTAACCCCCTTCGCCCCATAAACACCCCCATGCACCCTCCTGGAACTGGCTGGGGCATGCAGCTCGCCCCTGCTAGGGGCCTTTGTGATGCTGACCCTGGTGGCCCTTCCTCGGCTTGCCCGGCTGGCGCAGAGCCTCCTTTCACCCTGGCCTCGGGCGCCTCCACCTAGGAAGGCCCCTCTCTCTCCGCGGCCGCACACAACCAAGTCGCCTGGCGCTTAGATGCTGTCGCCATCTCCCTCCGAGCCTCGGCTTCCCCATCTGCATACCGTGTTTGAGACATGAATTCCCTAGAGCAGACGGAGGTTCTCAACCTTCCCGAGACCGAGACCCCGTAATACAGTTAGTTCCTCGTGCTGCGGTGACGCCTCGCCCGGAACACTGCTTTCTTCGCCACTTCCTAACTGTGATCTTGCCGCTGTTAGGAATCGCAATGTGAATATAAGGGTCGGGACCAATGGCTAGAGGCGTCACAGCAGCCGCTAGGGTGCGCTCGGTGGTGGCCCCTTCAGTTCCGAGCTGTGCTGGGTGTCCTGAGCCGGGGTGCAGGGACAGGTCGGGTGCGGACGAGCCTGAGGGCTCGGGTTGCTGGAGCTGGAACTCTCCAGGACGCTCCCCACACTTTGATGGGAACACGAGGTGAACCGACGCATCTTTAAAAAGCTTTTCTGAAAGACGAGAGTTGCCGGGCAGTGGTGGCGCACGCCTTTAATCCCAGCTCTCGGGAGGCAGAGGCAGGTGGATCTCTGTGAGTTCGAGG